GGATGTGTATTGGCCTGAATCGGATCACCTGAAAGAATGCTTATCCTTTGCCTCACATAGATGATCTGCTAGATGCGGCAGGTGGGTGCAAGGTCTTCTCCAAGATCGACCTCAAGTCTGGCTACCACCAGATTGAAGTTGATCCGAGTGACCAGCACAAAACTGCATTCAAAACACGCGATGGGTTGTACGAATTAATCGTTATGCCCTTCGGTCTTACGAATGCACCAGCCACATTTCAGTGCCTCATGGACAAGGTTCTCCGCCATCAGCTTAACAGGTTTGTTCTTGTTTACCTCGATGGCACAGCTGCACCTCAACTTAGAGAAATCTGAGTTTGGAAGGGAGAGCGTCATCTATCTTGGGCACCGATTGTCTGCAAACGGCCTCGAGCCGGAGGCAACCAAGGTTGAGGTCATACGAAAGTGGCCTCAACCGGCAAACGTACGCGAACTACGTTCTTTTCTTGGTTTGGCCTTGTATTATCGAAAGTTTGTGCCCAAATTTTTTGTCATTGCTCACCCACTCTCGAGACTAACAACTAAGAATGTTGCCTATGCGTGGTGTGAGAAATGTGAGACTGCGTTCCAAGCCTTGAAAGAGGCTTTGGTAAGTCATCCTGTGCTCCGCATTGCGGATCCCAACCTCGCGTTCGTAGTCACTACGGACGCGAGCCAGTATGGGATTGGTGCAGTGCTGCAACAAGATGATGGCGATGGTCTGCGTCCACTCGAATATTACAGCAAACGCATGCCCAGCCACAAGGTAGCTACTTCCACATATATGCGTGAGCTCTACGCCTTGTGCGAGGCGCTCACACATTGGAAGCACTACCTCTTGGGTCGACACTTCAAGGTCTACTCAGATCATCAGACCTTGCAGTGGATTAAGACACAAACTGATCTCTCTCCGACACTGACCCGCTGGCTGCATGACATTGATGTTTACAACTTTGAACTGAAGCGTAAGAAAGGCCGTTATAATCGTGTTGCTGATGCTTTGTCGCGTCATCCAAAGTTTTTGACTTGCCTTGTGGACTCTTATGACCTCCGAAGGAAACTGAAGGAGGATCTGGTCGAACACACTGCCAAGGATCCGGATCTTAGCCCCATCCTTGAGCAGCTCAAGGTTGACCCTAGTAGTCAGCCTGATTTTCACGAGTGCGAGGGTCTTGTATTCCGCCGGTATGGGAAGTTTGATCGTTTGTGTGTACCCAACCATGCGCCTCTCCGGACTCATTTCTTGGACTTGGCACATGGTCGGAGTGGACATTTCGACTTTGAGAAGACTTATGGAAGTCTTCAGCCGCAGTTTGATTGGCCGGGAATGAAAGGATCTGCTCAGAAATTTATTGTTGAATGTCAAGTTTGTCAAAGAACCAAGGTCCATAGGCATAAGCCGTATGGCCTGCTGAAACCCCTCCCAATTCCTGATGGGCCCGACGAGTCGGTCTCTATCGATTTCACGGACATGGGGAAGGTGAGTGAGGGAGAACATTCACAAGTCATGGTCATTGTGGATCGCTTTTCCAAAATTTTGAACTTGATTCCTCTACCTCCCCATGCACCAACTGAGCTTGTGATCGAGAAATTTCACCAGCAGCACATTCTGCAGTATGGAGCCCCGAAAACTCTTGTGAGTGATCGGGACACCAGGTTCATTACTGCTGATTGGAAGGGCTTCACCTCACAGAACTATGACATTAAACTCAACAAGACTTCTGGTCGACACCCCGAAGCCAATGGATTGGCCGAGGAAATCAACCAGACTGTCATTCAACTGCTTCGCGCGCTAATTGTTCCAGATCAGAACACGTGGGATAAGGAGTTACACAAAGTGAAAGGGTTGTACAACAACTCCATTCACTCTGCAACTAGCGTAACACCGAATCAACTGCAATATGGTTGGCAGATGCGGAATCCTCTCTCCTATTTGTTCCCCGAACGGTCCCCTGGGCTGACGCCCGACATGCCTGGCTACAACGCCAAGTATGCACGCCTGCTCAAAGCTGCTATCGCAGCAATGAACAAGCGTCAGCATGCCATGATCAAACATGCTAACAAGTCGCGCAAAGAAGCGGACTTCAAAGTAGGGGATTATGTTTGGGTCAAAATGTCTGAGTTTTCTGATGAAGAGAGCGTATCACGAAAGCTTCTTCCATTGTACTATGGCCCTTGGCAGGTTCTCAAGGTGATTGGGGATGAATTTGGTCCTTCATATGTGATTGACATGCCTCCTCATCTGCGCACATATCCGGTCTTTCACGCATCCAAACTGTTTCCACACATCGATGATGAAACTTTTCCCTTCTGAGATCCTATGATACCTCGTCCTATCGACGGCGGCCATGAGATAGACAGAATCGTTTCCCATGAAGGCAGAGGGAGGAACAGACAGTATAAGGTTCACTTCCTCTATCACCCGTTAAACGAGTTTTTTTGGATCGACCAGAAAGAACTGCTAAAGAATGCTCCACGTGTTGTGAACGCTTATGAACGACAAATCGCTGATGGACAGACTGCTAAGTTTTCTGCAAAACTCACTCCTTACGGTCTTACTAAATCTCTCTTTCTGATCTACGCCTACGACGCATTTTGTGCCCACTCTGAATGAGTTACTCGCTCGAAGGGACCTCGCTCTTGAGAGGGGGGTAGTGTAATGACCCGCCAAAAACACAGACTGAGAACACTGCTGATTTCTGGGATTTGCCGCTGGAATGAATGCCTTGCTGAAATTCCCGCATTCTGCTGTGATTTCCATGTCTGTGTGTGTGTGTGCCTGCTGGTTTGCATGCCTGTCTGAGTGCTTGTCGGCTGAGTGTGTGTATGACCCGCAAGGGTACTTGTTGGTTGAAAGGCCCCGCAGGGCCGGTACTTACCTGTGGCCGTGACTTTGAGGGTTGCAGGGGGGAAAACACTCGAGTAGCGGGGGTAGGCCCGTGACACTTAGAGCAGAGGGGAAAAACACTCAAGTAGCAGGTAGGCCGGTACCACTGAAGTAGTGGTAGAAGCATCGGGTACTGGAGGCTGAGCAGAAGAAGACAAAAAGTTGGCATTTTTAGAGGCCCAGTAGCGGTAGGCTAGAGGTAGGCCGGTACCAGTCCAAGTGGCCCGGGTCTAGGGCCTGTCCGGAGGATAGCAGAGCCTGCAATGATGTTTCCCCCCAAAAGGGAGGAGGTACCGGTTGCTGGGAGGCCGCTCGGCCTAGGAAGTCACCGCCCAAGAGGCCAGTAGGCCGCTATATCTTCCGGAGGAGCAAGTAGCTCCTCCTCATTTGCGGTATGCAAGGATTGGCGACATGCTGCTGGAGCACAGCGCTGGGCTGATACAACACTGCTTGGAGGTGAAGGGCAGCTGGCGCTCAGCCTGGATATGGCGAGCAGCCCAGCCTGAGGAGGAGGAAGAAGGGGGCGAAGGAGGAGAGTGGCGAGGTACCTACCTGGCTATGGTGGACACCGTCTTCATCATCTTGTTGGGCGCTGCATCTGGAAGGTCCCAGTTGGGGTAGTGCCGCACCAAGGAAGCTCGAGGCAGAGTCAGGCATGGCGGACCAGTCAGCAGCGGCATAGCTGCTTTGGGTTGTCCTTTGGACAGGAGCACAGCACCATAGCTGCTTTGGGTTGTCCTTTGGACAGGAGGGCAGGGCCCTCAGTAGTCCGCCATAGCCTAGGCATGAGAGAGGAGGAAGAAGGAGAGTATCCATAGCTATGGTGGACTTCTTGTTGTTGTTGTTGTTGAGTCAGCAGTAAGCGGGACCTTTGGATATTGATTCTGGTTCATCCACTCATTGTTATTATTATTATTGGGAGAAGAATAAGATTGGCGAAGTGAAGGAGGAGGAGGAAGTTGGAGAGAGAAGGGGGAATTGTCATTGGTCTTGCTGGTGTATATCTTCTTCTTCGTCTTCTTCTTCGTCTTCTTCTTCTTCTTTCTCTCTCCTCTGGTCTCTATCTCGTTGCAAGTGCTTTCATTTCTTTCGCAATTGGGTGGCATTGTCTTGCATTGTGAATTTGCACTTTGGGAATGACCAGGATCGTAACATAAGTCTCCATATCTTTTTTTTGTTGTGTGCTTTGAATCCGAACACGCTAAAACGCACAGCTATGAACTTGAATTTGAACATGAGTGGCACACCGGCCTAGGACACACTGAAAAGGGCTGCTATGAACAGTGCGAATGGAAACAAGCCGGCGCCGTGGAAGATTTGTTCTCCAAGCACAAAACAAAACAGCCCACCAACCAACTGCACGTGGGGCCAGAAGTTCATTTTCCGCCCCTTCCAGACGGAGCCCAGAGGCCAGAAAAAATATCGGCCAATTTTTTTTGGACGGCCCAGGGCGTGAAAACAATATGGTTCTTTTTTTTTGGGGCGGTCCAGGGCGTGAAAAAATGCCCTGGTCCGCGCAGAAAAATCTGGCCGTTGGCCAGGGGGGGCGCCATCCTTACCAGTTACCAGAAACTGGTACCAGATGCTGGACCCCAGAGAGTCCAGATCCCTTTCCCGGGGCCCGGATCGTAGCAATAGTACCAACTGAGCTCGCCCCGTAGCTTGGCAAACTGTTTTCTTTTCATTGAAATGTACTAACAGAGAGACAGAAGGATAACTTGGCAATCTGCCGAAAATTTTGGTAAACAACACTGTCAGAAGGTGGCACATGGTGACATACATATGCTACAGGTGCACATAGAGGTAAGTACACAGAGCTGACATTTCTTTAAGAAATTATTAAGAAACCTTATCCACCTTAGCGCAAGAAACCATGCGATGAGAACACCAATATTCCAGATTGCATAATCTCACAGAAGACCAAAAACATGATTGAGCCGAGTTGAACGCCGAAAACCAAAGTGGAATGCACACACCAACTAGGAGTAACCAAAACACTGGAGTCTCTTGATAAAGAAAGCTTGACATCTGCCTCCCGTTCTGTTAGCCATCTGCCTTCGGTTCATTACACCTGTCATCTCACACAGACAACCCAGGTTATCTACAGACCTTACCGCACAGATACCCTGTGGAGTGCATGTTGCTGTTGTCACAACGTGTGTGACTGACTTGGAGAATTTCTTCTGCATGCTTGCACCCACTCTGGAACAGAAAATCTGACAGCAAGCCATGTGCCAACCAGACGCACGAAGACAAGCAAACAGAAGAAAAACCACTAGTAAATGATATGATAATCTGTCAGAATATCCATCATAATGCGAACGCTCAACATGCAGTTGAAAGTTGAGACTAAGGAGTTAAGAGCTTGCCTCTCTCTAAAACAAGTTTAAACAACACCATTTGCAAGAAATCCGGAAAGATAATGAAAGTAATGCTCGTCGTGAAACAGACCCTCTCTCTCTCTCTCTCTCTCTCTCTCTCTCTCTCTCTCTCTCTCTCTCTCTCTCTCTCTCTCTC